TGGCATTCTAGCTATGTAGAAATAAAATGGAAGGGGGAACTCATGAGCTAAGCTGGTAGGCAACAGAATGCTCACACAATATTGTATCATTTTTTCAGCCTCCTCATATTAATGAAGACTTTAAAGTGTGTACATAATTCTACTACATTCGGTCTTTAATATAACAGCTAAATAACTTACTTGAGAATATCACAGAAGTTAATTAAATTAATTATTTGTTACAAATGTATATTGGTCTTCCTAAACTATCATTTTCAATCATGTGTATTGGATGGTTGGAATTATCCCTTAGTGAAAATAGCTTACAATTAATGAGAATATTCTCAAAAAATGTGAGACAAGTGGATTGAAGTCTTATATTTAAGACCAAATCCAACTCTCAACTAGTTTATATATATATATATATATATATATATATATTAAGGAGCGTAGGTAGTAATATATACAAATGAAAGATTCATAATACAGTGCATGAATGAGATTCAACTGGAATATACATAACTATCAGTCTATCACATAAATTTGTCACAGAATTAGATTCAAATGGTCGTTTCATGTAAGAACTTTATATGTGTGTGTGTGTGTGTAACGTTGATTCTCTTTTTGAAAATGACATATGACAGACAATATATGACAGTCCATGTCAATAAAACATTGTGAGGAAGTTATTTTAAGTATGGTTTATGATCCCATGGAAAACAATGTGGGCACTGCCTAGCTATACACACACAAGAATGCATGCCTCTTAAAATCAATTGCACGCATGATCAAATAGAAAAGCAAAAGAATATAATAAAATTCTCATACCTTATCAACCAACAAGATCTGATGCAAATGTATTGTTACCATTGATTGCATTAAGTTCTGCGAAAACCTGCCAATCATGTGCAGGTGAGAGCCATGGAGACCACCAAGATGACGACACCGAAGTTGCTGGTTCTCTCCGTACACTGTAACAAACGGAATAGAAGAACCTTTGAAATAGATTTTCCTGAGCCCAGGAGCGTCCAGATCGACCGCCAAAGGTTGCTCAAACCTTTCACCTTCCGACAACATCAACCTCTTAAGTGGTTCACTTTGAATCTTTATCCTTTGATTACGAAACATAGACAATTGCAATGTCTCCAGTAATGGGAGGGAAGAGACAAGGGCTTGGATCGATGTTCTGAAGGGACTGTTATTCCATTTCAAGCACCTTAATGTTTTTATATTTTCAGACCGGAAAATATATGCTCTCTTAAGCTCATCGGCAACCACTTTCTGGAGATTCACAGCTTTATTTATATACACTTTTCTAACATTTCCTTCAAAAGAACCAAGCTTGGAGAAGGATTCCAGACTCAGAAGTTGCAGTGGAGGGTACGTTTTAATCCTTAGTTTCTCAAGAAAGTTTCTGGCAAGATTTATGAGCTCCTGGATTTGATCCCCACGTACAACGACATTCACAAGAAATATCTCTTTGAGACAGTTGAAGCTATTAAACCAGGATTTTCTTTCCTCATCCTCGTCGTCGTCGTCATTTCCGATGAGTGAGAAGGTGGTCGGAAATTGGCAGCCTTTCAAGTGAAGTTTGACTAAAGATTTCGAGGTGAAAACTGAATGGGGTACGGTGAAGTGATTGTTGGAAACCCTAAAATTTATCTCCTTCACATGATTTTTCATGATTAAAGAAAGCCAATCATCTAAGTTGGATTTCAACATCAAACCCTTTTCTTCCGACGGACCCAAATTCAGACGAAAGCTATCAATCTTTACTCTCTGATTTCTTAGGGTTGACAAGGATTTGTCGATCGAAGCCACCAAGTCCTCGAGGGTCTTGCCACCTTCTTCAAAATCCCAGTTAATTTTGAGGATTGGAAGGGACTTATAGACGCTTCGCCAAGTCTTTGAAACAGCAGATAAGGTTATTGAATCCTCAAAGGGCAAGTAAAAGAATAAATGCTGCAAGATGTGTTCCGGCAACCGTAATATTCCATCGGAGCTGCCAAGTTGGGTGGCTTCTGGTGAGATTTTGCGCCGCTTGAGCCTCCTTCTGCTTCTGGGAGCCATGGTTGAGCCTGGATCTGATCCTAGTACTGTAAGCGCTGCGACAACAAATGATTAGATTTCAGACATAAACCGGGCTAAAGTCCTAGCCTCCTAGGAACACTGAAAAGACTGAAGTGAGTTTCTCGTATTTTATAGAATTTTTTTGAACTTATCACCAAACACGTGAGAGATCCAATATACTTAAAATATCTTATTTGCTTCTTATCTCTTTACTGCTTTTGGCAAATTTTCATTCACTAATTCATCTTATTAAAAATGTCAAAACAGCTTCTAGCTCAATGTCTTTCAGGGCTATTTAATATACCAATTAATTGGGTGGGATGAATTGGCCCCGTACTTGAAAGAAAGAAAAATTTAATAAGATTATATTTATCCTGATTTTTTATTCACTAATTAAATATGGGTGTTGCTCCGTTGCGGTATTAATAATTATACGTTTCCATTTTTTTGTAAATTCAAAATGACGTATTTTTTTCTTTCTTGTTACATGAATTTGTCTTTAATGTGATTTTTTTTACCATGGTCTTTAATGTGATTGACACAAATTCATATAATATTATTTTAGGGGTACCAATGCAACTGCATTTATACCATTAAATGCTTTTAATTAATACTGGTTTGAATTTCATTAGTTATCGTTGAAGGTACTAGCTTTCATTCATGTGTGAGTATAATAAAGTCTGAATATTTTTTCTTCGGGTACACAGTAAAATCTGATTTTTGTTTGAGGGAAAAGTTCCATTTTTTTTGGGAGAGTTAAATTAATCAGTATATGCTTAATTTATTTGATGAATTAAAAGGTATGTCAAAAAAACAAGCTCATCAAATGAATCTAGATGAAACAAATATATAGACATCAATATACAAATATATATGGGTGTATATATAATGGATAGTTCTCACAACTATTTATAATGGATCATAGTTGAGGGTGTAACTTATTACGTGCTGCTCATTTTTACCTTGGATAGCCAAAAATTTTAAAAAATTGCATAATCAAAACAAATGAGTAGGAAGAATCATATGCAGCTGGAAAAGGTTAGCAAAATCAAAAGCAATACATCTAGGCTAAATTAGATGGTAAGGACGAAATGAAATGTAGATAGAGATTTAAAATAACCATTATTCAGACTTAATGGAAAAAAAAAACTTGTGTCACTGTAATATTACCTCTGGTCTTAATTATAAGATTTTGTTTATAGACTACAAACAAGATCTTATAATTAGGATATGAGGTAGTATAATATAATGTTGCTTTAGTGAAATGAATTTGTAGTCTATAACTCTATAGTGTCATATCATATATGAATATCTTTTAGTATTCAAAAGAAAACACCAGGCAGGGACCTTGAACATCAATGTATCAAATATACAAAAACCCAAAATATTAATTTAATTTGACGTCCTGATCCAATAAATATAAAATGACAGCGTTCTTAGTTCTCCCCCTTGGATTTGACACACTTAGATTTTTATTTTCCTCATTTTTAGTTTCCCGGTGTTTGATTAGAATCATCTTGGTAAAATTCGTATGAACTTAAACGGATTAATCTTAGAGTTTCTTCTGTGCTAACAAATTTGGTGACACCTCCAAAATAATTAGGCATCGAGAAAAGATGAGTATTCATGAAGGAGGCAGAACTATGATTATGTGTGGTTAGTTCCTCTATAAATTGTTTAGCTTTAATTATAGATTAATTAATGCATATTTTTGTCTATCCATTTTGTGGGTGTATATTAATCCAATTATGCTCTTTAATCATGCTTCCTTATTAATTGACCATTAATTTGAATTGATTAGAACTTCAATATCATATCTAATTAAATAGATGATTGGTCGTTTTGAATGTAAGACTTAGTTAAGTGATTTATTTTGACAACAAGTGATTTATTTTAATCATAAATGTAGGAACTCAATCTGTTTTGCCCTCTTCACTTAATATATAATTTTTTCTATATTACCTTAATTAGCACCTATTTTTTTTTGCCTAATAACAATAAAAACTAATTTAACTAATTTCTTTCATCCTATGAATTATTTAACTAAATTTTATATTTAGGATTTGAAGGAATAAAATTTTATTCTTTTTACCGTACTTTATTCTTAACTCTTTCTAATTTTTTTAATTTTATTTTTGAATTTTGCATGTGATTTATTTCATAAAAAATCATTTTATTCTGAAATTGTATTTTTTGATCAGATATGATGAACAAGTAAAATACTAATTAACAAACAAAAAAAACATGTTTACCACTCTCGTCAAAAGGGAGGATCCGTTCTATTTATGGTTAAGGTGCAATAATTATAGTTAAAAAACAACAAAAGCTAAATCCGAAAGCAACTGATAATCCTCCAATTTAATAGACCATTTCCAAAATGCAAAAACCATTAAACAAAAATCAATTTCCCCCGTTAGCTCAAAATTTCTAAGAAAAAATATATAATATAATGTGCACACGAGTCATGACGATAAATGATGACCCAAATCCAACCTCAATCTATCATACTACCTCCGGTCCTAATTATAAGACCCAATTGACTAATTTGAGGAGATTAAGGAAGTAAGTTAAGTTAGTTATTTGTAACAAATAAGTGTTATCATTCCTAAAATATCCTTGCTAATTAAGTGTGTTGGTTAGAACTATCATTATTAAAAGGACTATCTTGGGAAAAAAATGCATAAATATGAGGGACAAAATGGATTGGGGTCTTATAATTAGGACCAAACTAAAAGTCAAACGGGGTCTTATATTAAGGACCGGAGGTAGTATTAAAATAGATCATCATGTCACAAATTAAACTTCCACACATTACATATCTAATTAAAAAAAATACTCCTCTGACCTTAAATATAGGACTCTTATACTGGTATGTATAAAGGTTTTATATTTAAGACCGGACGGAGTACCTCACCAGCTGGCTAGTTTGTATACCAATTCTACAAGGAAAATTAAACTGGATAAGGTAGCCATAAAAGCCTAAATTGCACAACGAATCCTCTGGTTGTGGTTTGAAGGAGGGAAAATGCTCCATTCTGTGCCTTCTCGAGAGGGATGTTTGTGAGTTCCTCACCTTCATCAAACTCATGCGGCGTGCTTCTGTATAGTTCAAATGTCACATCCACTATGTAATGCCTCCAGCACTTTGGTTTATTATGTTCAGGGCAACAATTTGGATTCGTTTCCTCCCTGTTCATTAATTCATCTACAAGGTACTGCAATATATGATATTTTACATTATGCATGACGACCAACACATTAATTAATTAATTAAGTAATTAATTAAGCAACAATCAGGCAAAATTATTCATAATAAAGATGAATTAATGCATATGATCATACTGCAATAATTCAGGTAGCTAGAGAATGATGCATGATAAAGAGAAAATAGATAATAATGGGCCAAGTTATAACTTAATGTGTTCTTATATAGGGAATATTCCTAATTATTTGACATGTTAGTGCCACATAAATATAGATGTTGGAGGGAGATCGAGAAGAAGTTACTCGATCGACACATAGAGAGATTTTCCATTGGCGTTGTTACTCAACTCGCACACACTCAACACCCGGAGACACTCTGACATCTTAAACAAATAGAGAGATATCACAAATTTCATAGATCTTTTTGATTTGGCGCTGCTGTTACCACAATAGCCTTCCCTCTTTAAAATCGTCACATACACCCCTCCACTCTTTAAACCTGGGTTATTTAACCTTAACTCTAATACCACCTTCTTGGAGGAAAAGGTTAACAATGCTTGATTGGAGAGATTTCACACAAAAGACCTTCCATATTGTAGTAGGAGATTTGTTACTACTCCTGTAGTCCTTAATGTATGTCCTAATCGCATAGTTGATGTTAGTCCTATATGTAAGATTTATTTCATATGCTAATCAATTTTTTTTCTAAGTTATCTTGTTGATATTCCCTTAATAATAATCAAGTAAGAAAAGGAGAGAGGGAATTAAGAAAAATAATTAGGACGTTTTAGAAAAAATATCATATTAATTAATTTAACTAGTTAACATCTTTAATCTACTCAAATTAGTTAATTAGGTCTTATATTTAGGATCGAAAGAGTATTATATTTTCTTTCATATTCCTCTCCATCACCGTCATCTCTAATCACTTAGCCCTATTTCACTGACTTACCCAAAAACCATGAACCACACCCTCTCTCTCCCCCTCTCTCAATCTTCTTTTCAATTATAGAAGGGCTGAGCTTAACAGTTTAAGATGTGTGGGGTTGAACTCATGAACCATAGGGCTAGTGACATAAATTACAATTTTTTATACATAATTTTATCCGCGCATACTTATCAAACTAAAAGACTCACATAGTACTTATAAATTTGAGTCTACTTTTCCAAAAACAGAAACCTTGGTATTGATTCATGAAATCTAAATACGATGAAGATAAAATAACAGTATATGTGTTGTATATAAATTTTTTCCTAAGTTTTGGCATCGATCACTTACGCGTATGAAACTGGCCTTGTGAGGTGATTTTAGGGTTTCTTCTCTATTCATTAAGACAATCAGACGGCTGGGATGACAGGTCCAAAACAAAGCATTGAGAAAAGATGAGTAATTCGAGGCAACTGGAATGCACTCAATAACCAACATTGTTACATTTGTTGGATGATACACAACTGGATGTTCTTTCAGCTCTTCCAGAGTCAGCAGATTCTGTCCATTCAAAATTGTTTGAAAAAGTCAATACATGTATATTCCAGGAAAAAAATAAACTGAAGTTCATCACACCGAAGAAGTTCATTGAGCTATAGAATTTTCTAAGTACACAAACAGAACTCGGTATACAGGAATTGTTAGTCTTCTGGGTAGAGAAAGCAAATCGTATAACACTTTTGGGAGTCGGACTTGCAAAGAAAAGTACCCTCCCTTTCTATAATTTGAATTATTTTTGGTATTCATATAAAAAATGATATGTTTTGCAGGCGAAAAGATAGATTATGTTCGGCTATATATGTGTCAGAGAGAGGATATTCTTCGGACATAACCCATCACAATTAATAATAATATTTTTCTCTTTTTGAAGGTGCAAAAAGGTTTTGGGATTCATAATATTTTTAACCTTTTCTTCAACCAATGCCTACACATAAATGATCAAATTAAAGCACTTAAGTATCTCGTAGAACAATCTATATAATGGTCGACGGGGCATTTTAGTACATAGTGTATGCTACTACGTACCGTAGATTTCATGCATCATCACATCATCTGAGACTGCCAACTTCCATCAATCCTCTGTTTAAAGAGGAATTACAATTTTCTTCTTTAAAGATAAATTATCATATGGGGTTCTCGGAGATTCTCCTAATTCAACTACCTTAGTGCTATCAAATTCAAGAGCAGAAACGTAATGATTGATCATTAATAATATTGATCATCATATCATATGTAACAACAAAGATTGCAAATTATTAATTAATTGGCAATAACAACAATGACTATATACATCACAGCAGGCTTAGAAAATAAGATCATTCAACATGCACACCTCTAGGCTATATACAAAGAAAATTTGTTAATGCCTCTTAAAAATAAATTGCAACAATAATTAATTACCCAAAACCAAAAGAATAATTCACATACCTCAATAAAAATCTTATGCAAGTGTATTTGTAGCAGTGAGTGGATCACGTTTTGTGAAAACTTTCCAAGCCTGTAAAGTTGAGAGCTATCAATGCCACCAGAAGAATGACCAAAATGATGAAGCTCAACTCTGGGACTCCGTCTCAACATTGTAATCTCAGGAAAAGAAAACCCAGTGAAATAGATTTTGCTTAGTCTCGAAGCATCAACCTCAACTTCTATAGGCTCCTCAAATCTCTGCCCTTCACACAAAAAGAAATTCTTAAGAGAATCACTGCGAATCTGAATCTTCTCATTACGAACCATAAACATTTGGATCGTCTCCAGAAGTGGGAGTGTGGATATAAATGCTTTGATCCATTGGTAGGCCCTTGTGTGCCATGTTAAGCATCTCAGTGTCTTTATGTTCCATACATCAGAAGCATATAATCTATGAAGCCCATATAGAACCATCGTATCCAGATTCGTAGCCTGAGCTACACGCAATGTTTTAACATTCACTTCAATAAAACTGAGCTTTAAGAAGAATTCGAGACTCAGAAGTTCTATTGCAGGAGACGTTTTAATGGTCAGCTTCTCTAGAAAGTTCTTAGAATGATTCACAAGTTCCTTGATTTGATCATCACGAGCAACAACATCCTCAAGAATTATCTCTTTAAGACAGAGAAATTCATGACGACGCCTCCTGGATTTCTTACGATCACCACCACCATCAGAGAATGAAATGTCAGCCGGAAATTTGCAACCTATCAGCTGAAGTTTGACTAAAGATTTCGAAGTGAAAACTGATTGGGGTATAGTGTAAAAAATGTCGTTCGGAGATTCAGAAACCCTAAGATCTATCTCCTTGACATAGTTTTTCATAATTAGAGTAAGCCAGTCATGGAGGTGAGATTCCAAGTCCGAACCCTCTTTTTCCTGCGGATCAATAGTCAAAAAGAAGCTCTCAATTTTTGCTTTGCGAGATCTTAGGATTGACAAGGAGTCTTCGACTGAAGAGACGAAGTTCTCGAAAGTGACATATTCGCTGTGATCTAATCTTAGGTTGAGGACTGGAAGTGAAGTCCAGACATTTCGCCAAGTCTTGGAAGCAGCTGATAGTGATACTGCGTCTTCTACGGGTAAGAAGAAGAAGATTTTCTGCAGAATCGCCTCCGGAAATTGGAAAATCCCATCGGAGCCACCGAGCTTGTGAGCTTTTTTGCGCGGCTTGCTTCTGGGAGCCATGGTCAGGTCAGTCTAAGCTTGTTGTGAGTACTACTGTAAGAGCTAGCTAGCTGCTGATTAGAGTGGAGACCTAGACTTTGAATTTGGTAAAGCCCTAGACAAGAGGACACTAAACCTAAGAAAATGAATGGACTAATATTTGAGGATTTGTAGAAATTTTTTATTATATAGACTTATTAGCAAACACGTGAGAGACACAATGTCCATTCAAAATATCTGGGGTGTGTCTGATTTGATTTTTTCTCTTTTTGGGATAATGTCATCAGCTGATATCTTTTCTGCTTTTGGCAACGTATGTTCATCATATTAAATACTATTTACGACAGCCTATGATATTCAATGTTTTTTGGCTCATTTAATTCACCAATTAATTGGTGGGATGAATTTGCTAAAAGCCTCTGAAAAATAGTATATATTTAGTTGTTGGCTAAGTATGTTTTATATCTTGAATGTGTACAAAACATTCTTAAAATGTTAAAATATTAAATTTAATTTTCAAAACAATCTTGTCACAAAAAATTATCATTTAAGACTAATAATTTTAAAGTTAAAAAATTAAAAATATTTTTTAAAATTAAGGAATCAAATTAAAATTGGTTAAAATTAAAGAACTAAATATATACATTAGATTTTAGTTGTTCTAAAAAAATAATGTTATGATTATATTTATAACGTAGAGAAAGAATTTTATTTTAATCTTATTTATCAGTTATATCATTAAATTTTTAATATGAATTTGCAAATTTGTATTTTATTTATTATTATGTAAACCTTATACTTTTGGGATAGAGTGAATATTAAATGAGAGTAAAGTTAAAAAATTATTATATTTTACAATAACATTAATGATAATGAGATTTAAAATTTTTCTTAATTTTGGTGAATGATAGATAACCAAGAGGAGTATATTTAGTTTATTTTCCCATTAATCTTACTTCTTCAAAACTTATATATGAGACAGAAATGATAAAAATAGGGTTATCAGAAAAAATTGTTAAAATCGATCAAAAAGCAATAGACATATATAAAAATGTATTTTATTTTCTCAAAAACTTTTATTTATGAATCCGAACTTTTACCTTGTTTTGATAAAAAGTCTCAATCTTTTTTTTTTTTTGGGTAATATCTCAATGACTTTGAATTAGCACTGCCATCTTCTTTCAGTACTCGTTGCATTTGCTTGTCTTAATCTAATGTGAGATGACAGTCCAGATTGATCAAGAGCTTCTTGCTGATGCCGAGGATTCATGTTGGAGGAGAACCTCTTTCCATCTCTTCATAGATATTATTGCGCAAACTCGGCTCTTCCACGTCTCCTTTTTCGCGACGAAGAAGAAGAAAAGAGAGAGAACGGGAAAGAAACCCGATAATTACGCAGCCGAGTTATATACATGTATGTGTATGTATGTGTGTGTATAGATATTGCCATTAGTTCTAATTATAAAATCTCATTTATAAACTATAAACAAAATCTTACAATTAAAACAGGACGAAGTATATATGTCTTCTCACCATGGAAAGAAACCCTAAAGAGAGAACCTAGAGCGGGGTACTGAAGTACTCCTACCTTGAATATAAGATTTAAGCTAAAATATACTTTTAGTTTTCTAATTTTATATAAGGTTTTATTTTGATCCCTTAACTTTAAAAAGTAAACTTTTAGTCCTCTAACACTAGAACCGTTAGCAAAAAATGATAGTCCTCTAGTCCTTAATATAAGACCTAATTTTTAAGTTAATTTTGGTCATAAACGTAAGACTTATTTTTTATATTTATCATTTTTTTAAATTATCCCTATAGATACTCCCTCAACCATAATCAAGTAAGTGAGGGAAATAGGATATTAAGAAAGATGATTATGATGTTTTAGAAAAAACATGTCATATTTCTTATAATTAATTAACTTACGTAACTTCCTTAATCTAATCAAATTAGTTAAATAGGTCTTATATTATTAAAGACTGGAGGAGTAATATTGAGCTTTTTTTTTTTTTTTTTTTGAGTAGGATGGTATCACTGCCTCAGGGTATCTCAGCACAACCGGCCAGACTAATCCCAGGTGCACTCGCAGGTATCGAGCCCATGACATGGTAAGACAGGCGTCTTGCGTTTCCGTTTGCGACTAGTCAGACCCAACCCTTGCAGGCGTAATATTGAGCTTTTGAATGCTAATAAAACCTTATTAAATACTAACATATTAAATTTAATTTTTAAAACAAGCATGATTGTTACAAAAAGTTATTGTTTAATATTAAAATCTTAGGATTCAAGAACTGAAAATATACTTTTTAAAGTTAAAAGACTAAACTGAAACCTTAGATAAAATTAAAGAACTAAATATATATTTTAGCTTAAAATTTATTTTATGGTGTAAATTAATAAATTATACTATAAAATTAGTTTTATATTTTGAATGAGTAACGTTTTTCAAGTTTTAGAACATGCCATACTCGCTTTCGAGATAGATCCAACTCAGCGCGGAAATTTTTTTTGTTTTTATTCACCTTTTTTAACTGGGCCATCAGCAAGTTTTCCCTTAATCATTAAAACAAGGCCTACATTACTAAGACCAATAAATAAATGATGAGTCACATTTTTTACGATTAATTGATGAATAACCCAGCATGTTAAAGCTTACTGTATACTCTAATGGCAAAAGGAAAAAAGTCTATATACTCAATATAAATCATATGTGCACGGTTAATTTTTAAAAATATTTTCTCACTTTTCTATTAATATAATGAAGATGCTAAACTATATATACTCTCTTTTTCTTTATTGCCGAACTATATATAGACACTTATTTTCTTGTTAAATCTACATATTCAAAACAACATTTTGATCAATTCCAGTAAACAATAGTCACCTTTTAAATTTACGAGTAATTTTGCATTGAAATTTGAATTCGCAATTAACATATTTAGAAATCAATAAATAAGATCAATCGGACATAAATTAATGACTAAAAGTTGAGCTGCACTGTAATTAATTTGTAGGTGAAATGCTGAACTATGCAACCAAAAATATTGAACATGAATACTGAAAAAAATCAAAAAAAATAGAGCATCGTAGCGTAAATATAAAATAAGAGTGCTGAAAAAAATTAATTGAGGAAAATTTTGATAGCTAGGTAATAGTTGTCGCTGATAATGATAAGTGGTGGATAGTAAGTGAGAAGAGAAGAAAATTCTTTAGAATTGTCAAAACGAAAGATAAAAAAAAAAAAAAGAAAACATGTAAAAGTTGTTTTGGTTTTTAAAACCATGTTACTGTTTTTTGTTTTTTAAAACAATCAACTAAAAACAAATTACCAAACAAAGTTTTTTGTTTTTCTGTTTTTAAAAACGAAAAATTATTTTCAAAATAAGAAACCAAATAAGCCCATAGTCTCCTTTTAGTTAGTACTCTTTCAAAATTTCAAGATTCTTTCACGGGAAAAAAAAAAAAAGGATTCTTAGCTGGTATTAATGCTTCTAGAGGGTCATGAAATGTCGTTTTCCCTTCAGTAAGATGGAAACTAAACCTTGTCTTTTTATATCAAGCATTAAATATGTTTGTAGTATAATAAAATTTTAGTAGTGTAGAGTTGTTGAAACGGGGTTGAAAAGGTCGAGGAAATTAAAAATTACAGGTGGAATATAGGCCAATTAAAATTTTTTTTTGTCAAAGTCGAATAGGTTAATGAAAGGGGTCAAATTATTATGAAAATATTGATTCATTAAAAATCTATTATTTGAGCAGAGTGATCAGCCAATCACCAAACTGCTTTGTGGCAAAATGATATTTTATGTATTGCAATGTCTCATATATATGCCAAGCAAACGAGGCTTGAAAGTTTATCATATAAACTAAGTTTTCAATAACTTGATAGATTGGTACTCCTTTACTACTATTTATAGGACATAAAGAGAAGAGAGTTTTTAGTCCTATTTATAAGGTAGATAGAGAAATTTTTTTATATAAATATATAATTTTATTTTTCATTTATTATTGTACTGACTTTATTTTCATAGAGTATGATATACACTAAATAGGGATAAAATTGAAAAGTTGTTAAATTTTAAATAAAAGTTAACGAAATTTAAGATTTTTCTTGATCTATGTGAAATATATTAGAAGTGATTTATAAATAGGTTTAGATGAGTATGCTTTATGCTTATTAGTTTTTAGCTGAAGATATGCTCTTATTAATTAATATTGTGTAGCAATTCATTTTATATAAAATTTATAATAATTCATAAATCTAACTGTCCTAGTACATTAATTATATTATTTTCTTACAACTACAAAAAATAACATGCACGCGGCGTAGGTCAAAATTAATCTAGATTTAAAACAAGACAAAACGCTACTACAAATAGTTTAATTAAATGACGATGATGAGAAGTTGATTGATGCATTTTAATATAAAGTCCACTTGCAAAAATTGTCATCGCCTATCACTATCCAATCCTACATTTGACAAATTCCTCTCAAGACTTTTTGTTGAAATCACTTGTTTTTAATGATTAAATAATTTCTATAATACGTACTCTCTCTCTCTCTCTCTATATATATATATAGTGTTCATACCAGCTATTTCTGCCCAGCTCTAAAAAATTTATCAAGTTTGCTTATTTAAGACTACGATGAAATCCTTCTACTTAATCTTCTTCAATAATAAAATATATATTTGACATCAAACAAACAGCACTAAATATTTGGTCAACTTAAAAAGAAAAACTAACCACATAATAAACTGTGCGCGCGCGCGCGCTTGGAATGAAATGCTTTGACCAGGCCATAATATATTTGTTTCTATACGTAAGATATTTAAAAAAAAAGGTTTTAATATTTCTATTTGTAAGATAATATTTTATAAAATTAAGACAATAGTTAATATGTTTTCTTTTTTAAAAAACCGTTAAACAGGAGTGCAAATTAATTTTTTATGACCTTTTTTTTATTTAAAGAATATATCAATGAATCGAAGGAAAACAACTATTTCACACCAAAGAGAC